GTGAATTGTTGAAAAAAAAAGCTAAAAAAAAAACCCATGGAAAGGGGTATGTTGTTGTTTTTCATCCAACAACAGGAAGTCTGGTCTCAGGGTTGGTTCTGCAGCTGAATCAAGTCTCACTCCATGTCTTCCCTGTGCTGTTTGCAACTTACCAGAGCTTTCCCCTCCTGGCTGCATAATGGCTGCAGCAGTGCCAGGCACCTCACTCCTCTTAGCAGCATCCCAAGCAGGAATGAAGTACGGGCACACACATTCCTCTTGTGGCCTTTTTAAAAAAAATCATGAGGTCCCCAGTGGACATCTTACCTTTCCCTGGTCAGCACTAGGTCACCTGTCCCTCCCTGACTGGAAGGGATCTGGGAGAGCAGAGCAGTCCCCTCTGGTAGTTTCAGCCCTTCATGGAGGGGCAGGTTCTGCCATCAGGCAGCAAAGGGAGGACAGGGTCCTGGGGGTAACTAACCAGCAGAGTGCCACACCGGCCAGGACCGCACAGAAATGCACACTTCTCAAGACTGACTCTCCCGGGTGCCTGGGACTGCTCCATGCCTGCAGCTGTAAGCGGTGCTTCCTGAGAGAACAGCTGGAGCTGAGCTTTGGACCGATCCTTGCTTTCCTGTCCCTGCCTCCATGCTCACGTTAGACTTAGGTTTTTTCAGACTTAGGTCCGACTCCTCACATGTTACAGGAAAAGTGTCTGCAGTTTCTCTTGCCGCTTCTGAACTGGTGTTTTAAGACGGTGATTTCTCAGAAGGGCTCGTCCTGCTGTTTTAATGATCTACTTTTCCTTGGAATAGGGAGGGTACTGGGAAGTGACGGACGCAGTGACACAGCAAGTCAGAACTTAAGGGAAGCGACTGCTTGAGGTTCTCCCATCTGACAAGCCTGGGGAAGAGGAATTCTCAGTGTTTTCTTATTCCCAGTTCTTAGGAAAGTTTTGTCTGCTGTGGCAGGGAAAGTGCTTTTAAGTCTGCAGCAAGTCACTCACATCTGAGAGTGACGAACTTTTGCTGCGTAACATCCCCCAAAACAAGTCACTTACGTAGCTCACAGTTCTGTGGGTAGGCAAAGCTGAGTCCATCTAAGTATTTCTTTTAGGCTGGGTGACTTAAGCTGTCCTCAGCTACCCGTCAGCGAGCAGGTCTGTTTCTGGGGGTTGGCTGGCTCTTGGCTCAGGGGATGGGGGTGAATGGGGTTCCTGGTGTTCACATGATGCCCGAGCAGGTTGCATGAGGGCACATGAGGCCTCGGCCTGGCCTGGGAGCTGGCCCAGTGTCACTTCTTTCTGCTGCATCATGTTGGCCAAAGCAGATCACGGCTCAGTTCAGGAGGGAGGGGAAACAGGCCACACTCTCCACAGAGAAATGGGAGAAGCTGCAGAGTTACTCTGCAAGGGGGTGTGGATGGATGCAGAGCTGGGTGACGGACTGGGGCAACCCCTGTAATCAGTTGTGAGGGAGGGGACACAGAATTTGCACTGTTGTGTGTTTGTTTGTGTCTGGAAAGCGTTTCCATGAACATGTCGCAGTGGTGGAATTTGACCGAGCTCCCGCAATGTACTCACTGCCCATCCTTGTTGCAGTTGGAAAAAAATACCAAACACTTGGCTGTTGTTATAACACCAAGAATTTTTTTTTTTTAGAAAGGGGGTTGGGGGCACAATATGGGCAGCAGGTATGGGCATGAAATAGGAAAACTGCATAGTCTTTCCTTTTCTCCCTCTCAGACGTGACTGGGGTGGGATCCAGTGCTCCATCCGTGCAGACACGGAATGCATGCTTTCCCTTTCGTGCTTCTGCCACCTCCATGACCTAGCTGGAAACAGAAACCTTTGGCTTATTCCAGGTTGCAGCCAAGTGTTACCAAAAAGGAGGCGCACTGGAGAAGGAGAAACTGGCTTTGGCTCACAACACCGCCCTGAACATGAAATCCAAGAAAGTCAGCCCCAAGTAAGAGTCTTGGGTGGGGGTTGTTTCAGGTTTGCTCTCGTGAGAGCTGTGGGTTATAAATATACAGGTGGCACGTCCACCTCCCATGGAAGCTCTGCTTTGTTTCCTCCTCCCAGGGAAAAGCAGGTGGAGTATTTGGAACTGGCTAAGACCTATCTGGAGTGCAAGGAGCCGAAGCTGTCCCTTAAGTGTCTGAGCTACGCCAAGGAGTTCCAGCTCTGTGCCCAGCTGTGCGAGAGGCTGGGAAAGGTACGCCTGTGGCTGCTCCTGGGAGAACTGGGCTTCCCTGGGCAGACAGAAGGGTGGCCCCCAGCCTCCGCCTGGGTCAAGACGGGGAGGTTGGCCCTGTTGACTCAGTGGGTGGCCCCTCTTTCTCCACTCGCTCCACTTGTGTGTAGATGGGTGCATGGACTCTGTGTGTATCCCCATGTCTGTGCCAATGTTTTTTTTTTTAAATTTTTAATTGATGTGTAGTTGATTTACAATGCTAGTTTCAGGTGTACAGCAAAGTGATTCAGTTATACATATACATACATACATATATTTTTCAGATTCTTTTCCATTATAGGTTATTACAAGAAATTGAATATAGTTCCCTGTTTTGTACAGTAGGTCCTTGTTTTTTATCTATTTTATTTATAGTAATGTGTGTCTATTAATCCTCAGCTGCTAATTTATCCCTCCCCGTCCCTCTCCCCTTTGCTAACCGTAGTTTGTTTTCTATGTCCATGAGTCTGTTTTTGGTTTATAAACAGAATTTGTATCTTTTTTTTTGTTTTAGATTTCACATATAAGTGATATCATACGATATTTGTGTTTCTCTGTCTGACTTGCTTCATGGGTCAATATTTGAGACCCAATATTAACTACAGGGAGGCCAAATGTTCACATCAAAGGGAAGATGGATTTTAGATATCCCTGCCTTCTCTTTCTCTGTGTTCAGTCTAGAGTCAGCCTGGGGGGACAGTCTGGCATTTACATGGTGGTTTCTCTGTGTTCCCAGCAGTTACCCTAGATCCGCACCGACCAATCTGGCAGCCACTAACCATGTGTGGCTACTTAATTAAACATTTTTAAGTTAATTAAAATGTAATAAAGTTAAAAATTCAGTACCTCTGTCTCACGAGCCACGTCTCAAATGCTCTATGGAATAGAACATTTCCATCATGGTGGACATGCTGGTGGACGGAGCTGCTGGTCCAGAGCCCAGCGACTCACAGTGCAGTCAGCAGGCTGGCTCCGGCCACAAACAGTTATTACCTGCAGCGAGATTAACACTGAGGAGGAAAGTAAGCCGTTCATTGCTGTGACATCAGTGGTGACAATTTTCTTAGCGATTTGTTTTTCTTCTTCTTTTTTTTTAATTGAGATATAATTGATGTATAACATTATATTGGTTTTAACTGTGCAACATACTGATTCAATATATGCATCTATTGCAAAATGATCATGGCAGTAAACTTAGTTGATGACTATCACCACCCATAGTTATATTTAAGATCACTTTCCTTTATATGCAGAATATAAAAAATAAAACAAACCAGCAAATATAACAAAACTGAAACAGACTCACAGGTACAGAGAACAAACTGTGGTTACCAGAGGAGAGTGGGAGGGGGTCGGGGCAAAATAGATGAAGGGGATTAAGAAGTACAAACTACTAAATATAAAATAAGTAAGTTACAAGCTGTAATGTACAGCACAGGGAATACAGCCAATATTTTATAACTTTGATGGTGTGTAATCTATAAAAAAAAATCAAATTACTATGTTGTACACCTGAAACTAATATAGTATCGCAAGGGAACTATACGTCAATAAAGAATAATAAAATTAAAATAAATAAAATTTTAAAAAGATCTACACTGTTAGTAACTTTCAGATATACAATACAGTATTATTAACTATAGTCACCATGCTGTATGGAAAGCCATTCATTTTTAAAATTTTAATTAAAAACAATTTTCTACTGAAATATAGTTGATACACAGTAATATCATATGTTACAGATATACAATACGGTGAGTCACAATCTTTAAAGGTTGTACTCCATTTTTAGTTATTATAAAATATTGGCTGTATTCCCCATGCTATACAATATATCCTCGTAGCTTATTTTATACATGATAGTTTGTACCTCTTAATCCTCCACCTCTATCTTGCCCCTCCCCCTCCCCTCTCCCCAGTGGTAGCCACTAACTAGTTGTTCTCTGTATCTGTGAGTCTACTTTTTTGTTATATTCACTAGTTTGTTCTATTTTTCAGATTCCACATATAAGTGATACTTACAGTACTTGTCTTTCTCTGTCTGACTTACTTCACTTAGCACGATACCCTCCAAGTCCATCCATGTTGCTGCAAATGGCAAAATTTCCTTCTTTTTATGGCTAAGTAATATTCCACTGTGTATATGTGTATATATACATGTGTATATATGTATATATACCATATCTTCTTTATCCATTCATCTATTGATGGACACTTCACTTGCTTCCGTGTCTTGGCAGTTGTGAATAATGGGAAGCAGTTCATTTTTACTGTATCAGTGGTTGTGGGTTGGACAGGCAGCTTCTGGCCCTCACCACAGGGTGTGTGACGGCTGTGCTCTAGGGTGCCCAGCTGCAGCTGCTGCATTTCCCCCTGGGTCAGGCTTTAGGACCATCCAGTAGGGAGAGAGGAGTAATTCCTGGACCCTCACAGCACCCTGGGCATTGGGCTCCAGGTCAGTGTTAGAGGAGCTAAGGCCCTCCCCATGCTGCCTGCCCCACCCCATGTTTACTGAGAGATGTGACTAATCAGGATATGAGAGGAGGGGGTAGAATGGAGATTTCAGTGTGGGTGGACGTTTGGGTCCTAAGAGTCCCAGAACTAGAGTGGTTTCCAAACTCCACATTCCTTTGTCCTCCGCCCTCCAATCTCCAAGGCACCCCCTTGGGCCCTAAGCAACAGGGGACAGACCTGAATTTGCCACTGTTCCTTGTCCCGTTTGCCTGCTAGTGCCCATCCTGACTGAGCCAGAGACCCCTTTGTTGTCTGCTCACCTTGCCTCCCACCGCCTGCTGAGCTCTGCCTCTGAGAGCAGAGTAGGGCCCAGGAGGCTTGCATCTGGCCCCCATGCCCGTCTCCATGACCTCGGTGCCTTCAGAATGTGGAGGCTGCCCTGCTCCCGGAGACATAGCCTTCCCGCCTGCCTCCACTTCCCCAGGGTTGACTACCGGGGATAACTCCTTCTGTCTTCTTTCACAACACATTCTAGCAGCTCTGAGCCCCCCTGGGGAAGAGTCTGGTCCCTTTCTCTGCTCAGGCCCTTCCTTGAAGAGTATTCAACTTTCGGCCAGCTTCAGACCTCTTGTGGTCATCTCACCAATCTAACCAGCATCATTCAAACAGACCGGACTTTGCAAAATCCTTAGGCCAAACCGTCTGCCTGTTTCCAGCCCCCAAACAGGTGCTAACCCCCTAGGAGAAGTGTTTGTGAGGAGCCTAAGCTTTTTTCCAGGGGTTCCTCCACCTTGCCTGCTTGCTGCCTCTCCAAAGAGCATCACGGTTTCCTGGAAACATCTCAGGACTCTTCCTCCAGGTGGCAGGAGCCAAGTGACCTAAGCAGGGGGACTGCTTGGAGCCAGCCCTCTCCTCTCTTGGTCCAGTTGGGTACACACTCGCACCTGATAGGGCCTGTGTTCACACAGGGGTTTTCTTCTGCGTGGTCAGCACTGTCAAGGAGAGGAAAAGAGACATGGTGGCGAGATGTTCTGGTTATGGGTTTGATTGACGTGGCAGGATGCAGCTGGTAGCTAGCTCCCTGGTCCGTGAGGTCTCTGGATGTAGAATAACCATACTCCAATCTTTTTCGTATTTTGGCATTTTGTGTAGCTTGTCTCATTAAATAAAACCCAGCTAAGATTTATTAGAGGGCCTGGCCCAGGTACTTTGTTTTTGTTTCATTTTCATTCTGTTTTCTCTCTGGACCTCAGGTAGCCAGTTGACTTAGGAAATTCAATATTCAACATATAGGTAGACCCCCTAGCCTGTGAGCACTGGTCCTCCATATCTGAGGTTCCTCTGTATCCTTGGTTCCACATCACGAGTTCAACCAACTGCAGATCATGTAGTGCTGTAGTATTTACTATTTTTTAAAAACCACATATAAGTGGGCCCATGCAGCTCAAACCCATGTTGTTCAAGGGTCAGCTGTAATCAAATCCATGTTTCTCCCCTGAAGTTTGTGTGTCTTGGGTTTTGTTGAAGACTTTCTTTACCTCAAGGTTGCAAAGATACTCTCTTACGTTCTTCTCCAGTAGCTTTCACATTTAGATCTTTAACCCATCTGGAGCTTACATTTGTGTATGGTGTGAGGTTGGGATTTCACTTAATTTTTTCTTGTAAAGAATTAGTTTTCCTAATATTCCCTATGTTTTAGTGTTTTTCACTGGATTCTAACACATAGCAGATACACAACCATCCTCTTTATTATTCATAGTATCAGTTTACTTTTAAGATTATGTTATGAATATTCTAAGAGTAAAATTTTACTCTGTCCTAGATAAGAGATGCCGCCTATTTCTATAAGCGAAGCCAGTGCTACGAAGATGCTTTCAGGTGCTTTGAGCAGATTCAGGAATTTGATCTAGCCCTCAAAATGTACTGCCAAGAGGAGCTATTTGAAGAAGCTGCTATGGCTGTGGAAAAGTAGGTGTTTTCTTCTCTTCCTCCCCCACCTGCCCCTACCCCACCCTCCTGTTGCTCCTTGGGGACAGCCTGCCTTGGGTGGTGGTACCCTATTCTTCTAAAGTGACTTGACAATGTCACTCTCCTTGCACTTGAGTGGTAGCCTTGGGGATGGGTCAGGAATTCCTTGAAAGCTTTGATACTGTCATGAGGAAAAGGGGCAGAAGAAGATAAAGGGTGTGTATGTAACCCCACACATGCCTGGCAAAAGAGAAAAGTCACAGGTTGGACAATAAAAGACTGATGTGTGTACAAGCCCCCGTCTCCCTTTTCTCAATAACCACATATCAAATGGAACAGGGTTGTATATCCAAAACCAGTAGCATGCTGTTACGAAATTTAAGGAATTTTTTTTCCTAAGGATAATTTTGCTCTGCATAATTTTTGCCCTACAGACTGACTTTCAAACTTAACTGTCACTTGCTTAGATTCCAACTCTACTCTGCTTCATTAGTTAGACATACAAATGCCTTGTTCCTGTGAGAATAAAGAATTGTATCAGTGTAAAATGAAGCCTTTCTAAAGATGCTAGATAACTTTAGGTCCTATTTTGAGGTTCACATTGACATGTGGGCATTTCATAGTTGCTCTATGCTCTGTTTTGTCAATTACCCATTGGGTGATAGTGAGTTGACACTGGTGTTGCCTGTCATTGCAGGTATGAAGAAATGCTAAGGACCAAGACCTTTCCCATCTCCAAGCTCTCCTACTCGGCCAGTCAGTTTTACCTGGAAGCTGCAGCCAAGTACTTGAGTGCAAATAAGATAAAGGAGATGATGGCTGTGCTCTCGAAGCTGGACACAGAGGACCAGCTGGTGTTCCTCAAGTCTCGGAAGCGGCTGGCGGAAGCTGCAGACCTCCTGAACAGGGAAGGTCGAAGAGAAGAGGCCGCCCTCCTGATGAAGCAACACGGCTGCCTCTTAGAGGCGGCCAGGCTCACCGCCGACAAGGACTTCCAGGCCTCGTGTCTGCTGGCGGCCGCCCGCCTCAACGTGGCCAGGGATTCGGATGTGGACCAGACCAAGGCCATCCTTAGAGAAGCCCTTGAGCTCTGCCATCAGACTAATCAGGCATCCGGCATCGCGGAGGCTCACTTCTTGCAGGGGGTGATCCTGAGAGACTTTCAGAAGCTCAAGGACGCCTTCCTGAGGTTTGACAAGCTCAACCACTCCGCAGGAGCAGTGGAGGCCCTTTCCGAAGCCGCCAGCCAGTGTGAGGCTGACTCTGACAGTGTCCTGGCCCTGGCTCCAGGGGGCTTGGAAGTCCTCCTCAATCTGGTCAGGGCCCTCAAAAGCGTGACCAACAATGCAGAGAAGGAAATGGTCAAGTCTTGCTTTGAGTTTTTTGGGATTTCCCAGGTGGATGCCAAGTATTGCCAGATAGCTCAGAACGACCCTGGACCCATATTAAGAATAATTTTCGACCTGGATGTGAACTTGAGAGAGAAGAAAGCGAAAGAGCATTTCTTGATTATGACGGACCAGGTGAAATTAGCCATCAACAAACACCTTTTGAGCAGGCTGTGTCAAATCACACGGAGCCTCCTTGGGAAGACCTACCCGAGCGTCTGCAGGAGGTTTATCGTCGGCTTAAAGTGTGAGGATGAAGGCTGTGAAGATTTCCACAGGCCTCTGCGACGCTGTGAGGCCAAGTGCGTGGTTCAGACAAAGATACACCTAGTGGCGATCAACGGACTGCTTTTGGAAGCCAAAAAAGTATTCCCCAAAAGCTTAGCTGAAGAACTTGAAGAAATCGATCGTATTTTGTCTAAGGATAAGTATGGCTTTTGCAAATCCTTCCTGAATGTCCTCTTCCCCAAGCATTTCCATCAAAGAGTGTTGTCAGAAAACCCCATGGCGTGCAGAGAAGTCCTCAAGCCGCATTACAAGTCCTTCCGCGCCTACAAGTCTGCCCTGAAAGAGTACGTCCATTTCGTGTTTCAAAACGAACGGCCCCGGAGCCGCCGGGAGTCCACGGACCTGTGGCTGAGCGCCATGCAGGCTTTCCTCCTCTCTGCCAGCTATCCTGAGGAGCTTGAAAAGCTGCTCCACCGGGAGGAGGACAATTACAACAGGGAACTCAAAGCCCTCCAGGCTGACAAAGAGGAAAGGGGAAGCGGGAGGGGCAGCAGGATGAAAGGAATAGAAGGGAAGTTCGGCATGCTGGCGCCCAACAAGGATGCTGAGAGTGCAGAGAAGACCCATTTGTGCTTCATCCGGCTGCTGGAGGATTCCATCCAGCAGTTGTACGTGCACAGGAACCCCGAAGGCTACAAGAGGCGCTTTTTCCGTTTCATGAACGTCCTTGTTAAGAGGTGTAAGGAACCGCTCATCCCCAGCATCGGGAACACAGTGGCCCTGCTGGAGCTCCAGTTCGTCCACTGCGGGGCAGTCCTGGCCCGTCTTTGGAAGAAGGCCATCCTGTGCCTCCCCAAGAGCTACATCGCGCTCTTGCACTACTGGGAGTTCCTGTTCAGCAAGAGGGAGCCCGGGGACGTGTTCGCCATCATTCAGGAGTACAGACCGAAGGACGTGACCAGAGCCATTCAGGCTTTCCAGTTACACCTGTCCTACCTCGTCAAGGTGCTGTGTGGCTGGGAGAACGCGAACTTCAACGTCCTGCTTGATGCCTTCAGTGAAATAGACTATGTGGTCTCCGGGGAGGCGGAGCGGACCCTGGTGCTGTGCCTGGTGATGCTGCTGAATGCGGAGGAGTTTCTGCAGCCGTCCTGCAAGTCTCTCCTGTCCCACCACTTCCAGAAGATCGAGGCGAGCCTGCAGCTGATGAGCACGGACTGCCCGGACCGGGTCCCTGAGAGACTCCTCAGAGTGGTGAAGCGCGTGCTGATGGCAGGCAACGTCAAGTCCGTGGCAGAGGCGCTGCAGGACTTGCTCTTTGAGCGGGACGAAGAGTACCTGATGGACTGCCACTGGCGATGGGACAGCGGGCACCCCAAAGGGGCCGGGGTGTGCGGCCTCTACCACGAGGAGGTCAGACTGAACCGCCTACTCTCCGTAGACCCCGTGGGCTACTTTGCCGAGCCAGAGGGTGAGTTCGGTCAGGACGAGACGGAGGAGCTGGCCTCTGAGGACCGGGACCACCACCTCCTGGCCGCCATCCTCTCGCAGAAGCAGCGGAAGGCTTCCATCCAGCGGAAGCTGAGGAGGACATGCCTGGTGGTGTCCTTGTGCATCAGCTGGAGGAGGAGGGCGGGGGCGCAGACCGAGCGCTTCCAGGAGGAGAGCGGGGAGCCGGTGGCCCGGAACTTCAAAAAGGCCGACGTGGACCGGACCCAGTGCGACCTCTGCGGAGTGAAGTTCATCCGAGGTCCCGAGAACTATTTCAGTCCAGGGAACTACTTTGGCCCGGATCAGGCAATTCAGGGAGCGGCTTCTGGGGCTGAGGCCCTTTCCGGGGCTGAGCTGAACGACCAGGAAGGTCGGGAGAGGAACAGTGAGTCTTACGAGCAGCACATCCGCCTGAAAGGCCACCACAAGCAGCAAGTGGCCTACCAGAAGTACTGGAAATTTTTCCGCGAGAGGGTGGACCCGGCTATTGAGAAAGGCAAGCTGGTGGTGCAGGACATCGAGCACAGCGTGTGGGTCCGCAGCCACCTGGGCTCCAAAGAGCAGAGCCACATGCTGCAGGGGAAGGTCCAGGAGAACATCAAGAGGGTTTCGGATGCGGTGGAGGATCTCTACAGGAGGAAGGCCTGGGCTGACGGTGAGGGTCCTCGGAAGTGGGGCCCAGACGGTCTTACAACCCGGGCTTTGAGAACGCAGGTCCCAGTCGAGTCCTTTGTGCTCCAGGTCTGACCTGCGGATGGTGGAATCTTGGCATTGGCAGAAATACAAGTGAGACAGTGTATTTCCAACTGTAGCAAAGCCCCGTGGTTTGGACCACCCTCCCCCAATTAACAGGGTGTGATTGTCTTGGGCCAGGATAGTTTCCTCTGGAGCGACAGGCAAGAATTTACTCCCCAACTCTATGGAATGGATTTGGGGAGAGTGTTTTGAGTCTTGAGGAAACTCTGTAAGTTTCCCCCATTTATTTAGTCAGTGATCATTTCTTGAGCACCTACTATGTGCTGAGCCCTTGACTGAGATCTAGAGGTGTGGGTAGCTAGTCTCTTCCTTTTAGGAGGGCTCTTATGCCACACCCAGTGGGAGCCTTTAAGAATTCTTATGTAGGCTTTGAATCAGATTTCCTTAGAAAGTACCCCAACTAGAAAGCCCGCCAAATGGGTGGGCAAGTCTGCCCCAAACCTGTGGGTCCTTGCCTGCCAATAGAGAAAGAATTCTCAGTGGAAGTAGAGGGACAAAGTGAAAGTAAATAAATAAATAAATAGAAGAGAGAGAGCTGCTTTATTGCTTAGAGAGAGAAGTAAAAAAAGAAAACCTTAGAGAGGGGAGCCATCAGCTGGTCCAGACAGCTCCAGCCCCTGATCGGGCGGCAGGGTCTTTTATTGGAAGGCTCTGCCATCTTACCTTCATTCCAGTGGTGCCAGTCATCTTCTATTACTGGCTCTTTCCTCCGGTAGAACTCAGCCCTAAAACAGAAACTCTGGCGGGGGATAAAAGAGAACAAAGAGATACTGGGGTATGTCCTTGGGATTGAAGCAGCAGTGGTGGAACATAAAATGTCCTGGTGTTGGACTGTGTCCTTGGAACCAAGAAGCCAGCTGCAGGATAAGAGAAACAACCTGTTTTTTAACAGCTTGGCACTTGCTTTCCCTTGTTCATCAGCCGGAGTCAGTAAGGCTGTCATTACTTCCTCATTAGCCATGCCTTAGCAACACTGGGTGGAAGTTATGTGTAAAATTAGTGAAGTTGTGCATTTTTAAATCATTCTATACTTCAGACACTTCATTTTTTTGTTTGTTTTGTTTTGTTTTAGTACATGTTAGTTGGTATCACTTTTTTGTTTGCTTTTTCTTTTGGGGGGAAGTAATTAGGTTTATTTAACGGAGGTACTGGGGGTTGAACCTAAGACCTCGTGCATGCTAAGCATGCGCTCTACCACTGAGCTATACCCTCCCCCTCCAGTTTTTTTTTAAATGACATTTTGAACAAAAGCTCCCTTGAAAGACTTGCCATTGGCGGTCTCTACAGTCACACAGGACCGTGTCAAGCTGGCTCTGATGGTAGTTTCTGCTCATGGCGGCAGATGCTTCTCCTCCGGGGAGGCAGAGACATGCTCTTGGGAGACAAGGTTTTGGCTCTAGTACTGAGTTTCCTGGTCCCTGCAGTGACCCCCTCACTCAGGACCCTGGTTCTTTGGTTCCCTAGCGGAGGAGGTCATGGCACGGCTGGTCAACATCCTGATCCCGTCCGTCAGTGATGCGCGGGAGTGGCTGCGGAAAACAGAGCTGCACTTGAAGGAGGAAGGTGAGGAGCCCTTCATCCCAGGGCGGTGCTCTGGGTCTCATGGTTCTTGGTTTTGCTGGGTCCCAGGTCAGTGTGAGGGGCGCTGCCTACGACGTGAGCAGTGGTCACTCACCACCATCTAGGAGCATGGCCCCTGGGTGAGTCAGATTATTGACAACCTAGTGTCTGAGTTCCCCATCTGACTGTGAGGGTTATTTGGGGCTCATGCTAGCTGCTTTCTCAAAAATTTTTGCCACTCATGAGCTGCTAATGAAGTTCCATACAGTAGAACTTCCTGCTCCATATGGTGATTCCCAGGATGGACAAAGTGTCTCCAAGCCATCCCTTGATAAATGTTTGCCTGTGCAAACCACTCATGTAAGTCAGTATTTATTGAGTGTCCGGAATGTATCAGCACTGTTCTGGGCTTGGGGATAGAAAACAAATTTGTGAACAAAACAGACAAAATCATTGGGGAAACATGCATGTGTCTTCCTACGAGGGTTGAAGGCTAGTGTAGAGTGAGTTGGGTTTCTTTCTTGACAGTCAGACTTATCTTGCCAAGTTCTCTGCGGCCTAGAGTCTTCCCTCCTGCTCAGCCCAATGGCTGCCCTTTCTTGGTGGGACCTTATTTCTTCTTCCTCCAAGTATTTCACCTGCCCTGAATGCCATTGTGTGAGTCCTTGTAATCCAGATGCTACTGGAAAATCCAGACCCTGGAGCTGGAGGAGACTTGGACAACACAAATGTCTGTGCCAGTGAAAAACAAAAAAATCTTTAAAATATAGCCCCTGGTGGCACTGTGGTTTTTGTGATTGTTTCATAAAGAAGACAGCTGGTATCACAACTCAAGGCTGCAGTCGAGTTTAGGTTTTGTTTGGCTTCTTTTTCATATAAAGGGCCTCTAAAATAAGGCCAGAGGAACTAGCCTATAAAAGAACATTCCAGAGAAGGGTGTTTACTTTGGCTCTGGCTTTTTTTTTTTCTTTAAAATAACGATTACAGAGACATTAGGTTTTACTAGGATGTTATATTTTGCAGTGGAGTGAAAAAAAGAATCATTATTCTGCACTGTATCTGTTTCTTACTTTTTAAACAGGTATCGTTCAGGAAGAGGATTATGAAAATGAAGCTGAGGACTTTGATGAGCTCCAACCTAGGAGGCGTTTTCAGAAATGTGCGAAGCAGAGAAAATACTAACATCCACACAGCTGCTGCTTCCTAAACCTTCAGAACATTCCATCCTGACTTAGAATTCCGCATCTGGGGCAGAAGAGGAAAAGCATGTATATTAGCATAAAAAAGTGGAGGTGGGGTGTCTAACAATGCCTTTGCTCTCTCTTCTTGTTACTTCTCTCTCACTGGTGGCTTAGGGTCTGACTACTCCCTCAGAGCAGGGGCCTCTTTACAGAGTTTTCCAAGTTCAAGTCTAACAGGGCTACTTCCCCCTAAACCAGGCTCAGGTGAGAGGAGGCGCAGCTGGAGGGAACCTTGGGCCTCCTCCCCGCCAGGCCCCCGGGTTCTCCGGCTTGTTTTCACCATGACATGGGTCAATAGCAGGGACGCCCCTCACCTCCGAGTTGCCGCTGCCCTGGCCTGCGAGCCACCCGCCTATCTCCTCATCTCCGTTCACACCGCTGCATCATCAAGTAGTCCAAGTGCTGTGTGTGCCCAGGGTCCCTGTGGGCCCTGCCGCTGGCCACCCCTGACCCCAGGCCACACTGATCATCTCTGGGCCCACTGGTGGCGTCGTCCCTTCTGTTATATGTGTTAGCCTTTTCTCTCTGCGGCAGCTCTTCTGTCTGCCCTCCCTGCATTTTTGGAGACCATTGTCAGCTACCTGTGCAGGTCACAGTGAGACTACCTCAGCATGTAGTCAAGAATCCTCCCAACGTCTTTCCGGCAGCCAGCCTCAGGACCTTCCTTCTAGAAGGAAAGGCTGGGGGATGTTGCCGGAGGTACCCAGCCTGTCTCTCCAAGGTGGTGTCCTCTGCCTTGTCTATGGTGCAGATATTTCAGAAAGTGTTTTGTATGTAGCCTTTGGTGTCTGCTTGTCTTGGGTCTCCCTGGCAAGTTTACCATGCTTATCTGGCTGTTCTGATGAGTTCCTCCCACCCCGAGCTCACCGTGGGGACACCATGACCTGTGGAGCTGCAGGTTGGGGACAGGTAGACAGAGAAGCCAGCCTGACGGTGCCGGTCCTTAGGGATTTGGCTGTGAATCACTGCCCCATGGCTGGTGGGCTCGGAAAGTGGAGTGGGTTGTGGGCCTCTAACATGCAGGACACCATTGCTGCCTCCACTGAGCCATCAGTATGTCCCTTTCAGAAAGCCCTCCTGCCTCTCTTGTGGTCACTGCCCTCCCTGTCCCCCATGCCCCAGCTCGGCCTGGTGCAAAAGGTCAGGCTCGCACTGGTCCATCACTGTTTTGTCATCACAGCAGAACCAGCCTTCTCCCCACGTTGCTGCTGCTTTTGCTGCTCATTGTTTTTCCTTCACTGTCTTTCTAAATGACTCTTTCTCTTTGAAATGTAAGGTTTCTAATTTTTATTAGACTATGGTTCTAATTTTTATTCTAGGTGTTTTTATAAACTTCACTTACCGGGGTGGGGGGGGGGAGGAAAAAAATCAAATCTTGCTGTATTATCACATTTTTATAAAATTAAATCATTTCTCTTACATGTGGCTGTCCATTTGTTTATTTCCAATCTCGACTCAGAGAGCAAACGAGTGAATCTTGGAGATGGTTCTTTCTGGTCAGCTGGTAGATACTGACCAGGCCAGAAGTTTGCTGTGCTTTCTGAAACTGAGAAACCCCGGGACCCAGAGACCTGTAGCCGTTTGCAGTGTCTCTTGAGGGCCTGCTCGTGTAAGCTCTTTGCCATTGGATGTTCTCGTGCAGGCAGGGTGTGGACTGGAAGGGGCTTTGTCAGTGCCTCTAACAAGAACATTTCCCTGGGAGGCGGGAGACCTGGAATCGAATCCTAGTCCTGCCCCAGGGAGCTGTTATAACTGGGACAAGTTAGACCCGTTCAACACTCCCTGAGGACACCATGCGGCACCACCCCTGGGGAAATCAGGGTCTGGTGTGGGAGAGAGATGGAGATAGAGGTGTGTGAAGCATGGGTGGTTGCAGCATATGCATAACCCAGCTGGGCCTCGCTTTCTCCTGGGAGTGGTCTGAGATCCCAGCCTGCCCTGACGCAGAGTGCTTCTGTAGGCTGTTGCCACGGGTTGGAACCCCCTCAGGTCTTGGGTCTGTGATCCCAGTGTTTGCCTGTGCTGGGCGAGCAGGACAGCTGAGTCTTGAAAAGCAAGAGTCCAATCTTGTGCTTCGAGGTCCAGGAGGCTCAGATTGAGCTGGACGGTCCCAGTACCTCCTCCACCAGTGCTCACCAACAGAATGACCTGGAGACAACCACCCCGCCAGGGTCCTTACAGCATAAGCATGGAGCTTATGGGGAGGAGACCAGCATTTAGCAGCAGGAGCTGTCATTCCCATTGATGGCCTGAGTCCTGAGGCCCAGTCCTGCACCCGGGGCTTTGGTGTCCCAGGTCTTGCCCAGAAGTCCAGGGTGAGGGAGGGTTTCGGGTGCTCACAATGACTCCCAGATTTGGTAGATCACTAGGAGAGCTCAGCGTACACTTGTGCTCACTGCTCTGATTTATTACAGCAAAAGCATTAATACCAAGCACCACTGGCAAAGGAAAAAGGCAAAGGGAAGTCTGGGGGCACCAGCTACAGGCTCCTGAGGGTTCCTTTCCCAGTGGAGTCACACAACATGCTTCATTCCACCCCTCTCTCCCCCCAGCAACTAGCTGTGACAACGTTCGAAATGTGGCCAGTAAGTAGCTTATTGGAGACTTGGCACTCAGGGTCTTTATTGAGGCTAGTTCTGTATCAAAGCCCCAGAGTCTCTGTGGAAAATACCATAAACCACTTGGTGGAGAAGTAATAAAGCATTATTGTTTTAAGCTACTAAGTTTGGTGTGGTTTGTTATGCAGCAATAAGCAACTGAAAAGGGCCTACTATGTGTCGGGTACTATTAGGCATGTTGCATCTGTGCTAAGTCTTAAAACAACTCTCCCAAACAGAGTCCTAATCGCTAATTTATATGTGCGTAAAGTGAGCGGTCTGCCTGAGGTCAGCAAGCGGCATTTTCTGTTGGGAGCCCCTGTTGTTACATAGTTTGCCGTTGGAGGGAAAGGGTTCATCCATCTTTTCCCCTGGCCTGTTAGAGATCCTAGAACCCTAATACTGGTACCTAGTACCCTGAGGGGTCCTAGCACCCACCCCTAGAACCAAGCATTTGTCACCTTAGCCACGTCCCTCCAGGCCCTGACATCTAGCTATCTGTGCAGGCTTCCCCAGCAGCTGAGACTTGGTTGCCAGGGCAACCTGCAGGCAGAGTTACTCTGATCACTTAGCTCCTGGGTTTTGGTGCCCTGGGGACACTGGCAGCCAGCACTCTTGGCCTTAACATTGTGGGGCCTGGGGTGAAAATATAAGAGAGGCCACTCTCCCCATGCCGTCTCTTCCTGCCCTTTGCTTCATCCTGGACCACGACGGGCCTCTCTGGCACGTGTGGACATTGAAGCCACACAGCCAGGGTCATGACATATCTGTACCCTCTGCTCCCCAGACAGCCGCCCTTGGCGACCTCAGCACATCAGCAGGGAAGAGGCCCAGGGCTGTCTGGGCAGGGTACCTGGGCAGGGACATAGCACGGTACCACTCGTCCTGGTCGTCTCTCCTCATGCGTCTTTCGCATTCAGGGTCTTAGAAGGACGGGAATCTGGCATTTGCGGGTTTTCCAGCCACGACAACATTATGATCACCTCGAAGCCTAACCCCTCTCACGCTTTCACCTGTGCGCATGCGCGCGCACGCAGCCGTGCACGTGCTCGCACTCCCCACCCTCGACAGCTCTCCCTGGCCGCGCGCCGCCGGCTGACCTACGTCTGAGGTAGCTTCAAAGTGTTCCTGGATCAAGACCGTGTCATTGCCGGAAATCTGTGTCCCCGAGGTTGTCCTTCAGGTCCTGAGCCCAAGGAGGGGTAAATCAACGCAGGAGGTAACTGCTCTCCCTCTGCCATAAGTACCTTTCCTCAGCCCTCAGACTGTCTTTACCTGATCCTGTCATTCTAAACATACTTCGGAGACTCCGCCTGTCGAGTGCAAGGCGGGGGGCGGGGGGAGGCGGTCTAGGAGCCATCTCCCCACCCAGCAGCCCCCATAACAGCACAGAGGGTAAGCGTTCACGAGAAGCCTCCCTGTTCAACCTGACAGACGCGCACGCCTTCCCCCGGCGGAGACACCTGGTCTGCCTCGTTCCCACCCACCACCCAGGAAAGTGTGTCTCCACACTTGCTGAGGGGGAGGGGAAGCCATCAGCAAGGTACCAGGCATCCTTTAGGTGGGTTGTTGAGAAACCCGCCTCCTGGTTCTGCACAATTCTAACCCTATTCAGAACCCTAGGTTCTCTGCTGTAAGATGCCGTCTTACCCTCCTCAGTGGTGATGTGACCCGAGTATCTGATAGGACCTTTGTGGGGGATGGGCTGCACTGGGGAAAGGAGAACTGTCGAGCCGAGCCATAAGGTTGAAATCTGACTTCTGATACTGGCTATAGGAATTCAGGCATATTATTTAAAATCTCTGAGCCCACTTGGGCATTTATAAAATGGAAATAATGACACAAGCTTGGAGCTTGGTTGTCATTGCATTATCCTCCCTCCTCCCCTGCCGCACTTCCGTAGAGGGACCAGGAATGTGAAAAGATTCCAGGGATCTATTTCCAGGGCAGGGAGGGGTGGTCATGAAGGATGACGAGCTCTGGGGACAGAGCTGGGTCAGCTTTGTGAGGCCTGGACGGAGGTGGGGACATTTCTAAGAGGGCTTTGTTCCCGGCGGGACAGCCTTCTTTTAGAGACTGAGACTATTTTTAATCCAAGTTTTCATGATTCTGCAGGACAGCTGTTTCAGGGAAATATGTAGGCCATTCTGTGATATTTGGAATCATTGTTTTAAGGTTAGGGAGTGGGATGGGGGAAGTGAATGAGAAAAAACTCCCAAGTTTCTGGAAGGATCCACAGAGAGCTACACCTACCCTGCAGAATTCTGCAACCCAAATTTCCTTTGTGGCCACACTTGGATGTCTGAAGAGGTCGAGCTGATGGACATCTTTTTATTACGCTTCAAGTTGAAGGTCAATGTCTGTCTTTTTTCCATTTTTTAGCCATTCCATTTGCCAAACCCAAATCATGATGGAGAAAAGATTGGCAATGCCTGCATTGGTGAGGCTGTGGGGGCAGGGCACTCGTACGTACGCCAGTGGGAACAAAAGCAGGACGATCTTCCTGGAGGGCATGCTGACAGCATCTATTAAAGTTAAAAATGGACTCACCTTTGGACCCAGCATTCCTATATTTTGTGTTTTTTTAATTGTTAGAATTTTTAATTGTGGTAAAATACACATAACATGCTACTCACCATCTTAATCATTTTTAAGGGTACAGCTCAGTCGTGTTACGTCCATTCACACTGTTGTGCAACCATCACCACTCTCCATCTCCAGAACTGTTTTTTATCTTACAAAACTGAAACTCTGTACCCATTGCA